GACTCTTCGACAACGTCCAAATGGCTACAGATTTGTTGCTACAGCAGATCCCCTCCGCAGAGATAGTGATCCTCGGTGACTTTAACGCCCATCACGCCGAATGGCTTGCTTCACGTTTAACCGATTATGCGGAGAGATCTGTTCATGATTTTGCCTTGGCATATGGTCAGACACCACTGGTTACTTCGACTACGCGGATTCCAGATGTGGAGAATCATGCACCTTTCCTGTTGAATCTTCTGCTGACCTCTCACCCGGACGGATATCAGATTTCCGTCGACGCCCCTGTAGGCTCACGCTGAAATCGCAGTTGCATTCTGCAGGCTGCCGCCGTGTTTGGAACTATAGGTTAGCCGATTGGGATAGGATGCGGTCTTTCTTTGCATTCTACCCTTGGGGGTGGGTTTGCTCCTCACCGAACGATCCCAACGTTGTTGCAGATTCTGTCGCTGATGTGGTAATTCAGGGTATGGAACTTTTTATTCCTTCCTCTGTGGTGCCCATCTGAGGCAAATCTCAGCCATGGTTTGGTCGCTCCTGTAAAATAGCATCGTGCGCTCTAAAAAATAAGTATAATACCGCCTCCAGGTCCTTTAAAAGAGTCATTGCCAAGGCAAAGTCAGAGCACATAGGCAGAATTGGCGAGATACTAGTTTGCCTTCCTTCCCGTGCATTCTGGTCTCTCGCTCAGGCTGTCCAGGGGAATCTCTGCACAGGGAGGACGACTCACTTGCCCATACCGCAAAGGAGAAAGCCGATCTTCTAGTCTCTTTATTTGCGTCCACCTTGACTCTCGATGACGGGGGCAGTACGCCGCCGACCATCCCGCAGTGTGAGTGCTCCATGCTGGAAGTGCAATTCACACAGATCTCGGTTCGCAAAACACTCCTCTCCTTGGACATCTCCACAAGTCAAGTGGGCCTGACGGCATCCCACCAATTGTGCTGGGGACGTGTACTACGGAGTTGGCACCGGTTTTAAAGCATCTTTTCCGTACTCCTACTCCCTAGGCATAGTCACAAATTCATGGAAGATGGCTTTTGTCCACCCGATCCCTAAAAAAGGCGACCGCTCAGACCCGTCCAACTATAGGCCTATCTCCATCACCTCCTTGTTCTCCAAAGCAATGGAGTCCATCGTAAACTGCCAGCTCATTAGGTCCCTTGAGAATCACCAGCTGATTAGTGATCGCCCATACGGTTTTCGCCATGATCGATCAGCTGGTGATCTTCTGGTCTACTTAACTCATAGATGGGCGTAGGCAGTTGAGTCCAGTGGGAGGTATTGGCTGTTAATTTGGACATTGCGCAGGTCTTCGATCGGTTTTGGCATAAAACGCTTCTTTCGAGGCCCCCTTCCTATGGGCTTCCCGAGAAATTGAGCCATTGGATCACCAGCTTTCTTGCAGATCGGAGCATCAAGGTCGTTGTAGATGGTGCAAGCTCCGATTACAAGCCTATTAATTCTGGTGTTCCACAAGGCTTCGTGCTTTCGCCAACGCTGTTTCTTCTGCATATCAGTGATATGTTGCAAACCTGTAACATTCATTGTTAAGCAGATGACAGCACTGATGATGCTCTGTAGACCGGCCGTGCCAATATTTCTCGCGAAAACGTCTCCGAGTACTGGGACAAACTTGTGTCTGAAGTCGAGTCTTTGCTGAACAGAGTCTCGGATTGGGGGCAATTAAATCTAGTCCAGTTTAACCCTCAAAAGACATAGGTTTGGCATTAACCGCTAAAAAGAACCCCTTTGTCGTATCTCCTCAGTTTCAAGGCACTCCCCTTGTTGCCTCAGCCAGTATCGGACGTGCAGTCTTGTGGTCACTTGGAAGAGAAGGCCAAATTGGTATCTAAAAGGCTTTGCGTGCTAAAGTAGAGCGGGACGGTATTTCATGCCGGCACACCGCCTGCAACTTTAAAAGGCGCAGGTTCGGCCGCACATGGAATACTGTTCCCATCTCTGGGCTGGGGCTCCCCAGTGCCAACTCTTTCAAACACTTGATCGCATCCAGCGCGGAGTGGCTCGAATCGTCGACGACCGAGTGCTTTCCGATCAGCTCGAATCACTTGTGCTGCGTAAAGATGTTGCATCTCTTTGCATTTTTTTTCGCTTATACCATGGGGAATGAACCTCTGAGGAATGGTTTGGATTAATCCCAGCCGCCGAATTTCAAGAACGCGCTACGTTAAACGTCCCAATACCATCCACACCATCTGGATGCTTGGCGGTCCACCACTGTACGTTTTACGAGGAGTTTTCTTCCGCGTACGACCTCTCTGTGGAAAAGTTTACCCTCGGCGATTTTTTCGGACCGATACGACCTGGGGATCTTCAAGAAAAGAGCTTACTCCTTTCTAAAGGGCCGGCAACACACCTGCAATTCCCCTGGTGTTGCGGTTGATCATGGGCGGCGATAGTCACTTAACATCAGGGGAACCGCATGCTCGTTAGCCCCCCTCTTCTATAAAAAATGAAGTGTACTAAAATACCGGTTACTACATAACGGAAGATTACCCACAAAATATTTTAGAGAAGACGAAAGAGCTCCAAGAACAAGTGAGAATAGAAAGGGAAAAGGAAAACCTTGTAAAAATAAAATACGCCAAGTTTGTCATATCTGAAAGAAATAAAACAGCTGGAAATAACAAAATATTGCTTTCAACTTCTACTGAAAATAAAATCACAAGAGGAGCCGAAACAAATACACAGATTAACATGAAATATAAATCGCAAATGCAATTAAGAAGAACTTCAAGTCTATTGGAAGGTATTTTAAAATCACGCTGAATTACTTTATTAACAGGAAAACGAACAACCCTTTAGATCTACAGAAAAATAATGACGTTAATATATGGAAATTATCGCCCGCCTCTCACAACGTCAACATACAACGACCACTACCTGAACACAAAACTTATCTTCCAAGCCGGCTACCTTGTTCATATAGGCTATTTTCTAATATCTTGACCAAAAATTAGCTCTACATTAGAAACAAGACACCCCGTATAACAAGCAGGATTCAGAAAAGGTTTCTCTACCATCGACCATATTCACACACTCGAACTTCTCATCGAGAAATATCAATTGAAAAGTAAACCATTGTAGTTGGCATATATCAATTACAAAAAAGCATTCGATTCGGTGTCACGCAACTATATCTGGGAAACACTAGCAACAAAAAATGTGGATAACGAATATATAAGAGTAATCAAAAGCATATACAGGAAGAGCAAAAGTAGAATTGAACTAGAAACAGCCGGTCCTTGGTTCTCCGTAGAGGCGTAATACAAGGGGACCTACTGTCACCTATACTATTTATAGCTACATTAGAGTCGATAATAAGAAAGCTTGACTGGAATAAATGCGGTATAAAAGTAAAAACTCAGTATTTAAGCTACCTGCATTTTGCCGATGACTTAGTGCTTTATCAGAGAAAAGAAAGGAACTACAGCATATGGTAGAGTCACTAAACAAAGCTAACAAGCTCGCCGGGCTAGAAACAAACCTCTCTAAAACTATGCTAATGACCAACAGCACCGAGGTAAGGACCATATACGTCAACAACGAACCTCTCCAATATACCAAAAAATACACATACCTAGGCAAGTAAATAACCTTCGGTAGACTAAACAACTACCAGGAGATTGAGCGCAGGGCTCAGCTAACATGGAATAAGTACTGGAGCCTTAAATAAATATTTAAGAGTAACATGCCAATCAAACATAAGACTAAGCTAATGAATTCTTGCTTTATAACATGCCGGACCTATGCTTACCAGACGTGGACGTTTAACAAAAATATCATAAATAAAATTATGACATACCAACGAGGAATGGAGCGGAGTATGCTAAACGTAAAAAGAATAATTAAAATAAGCCATACAAAAATACGCAATATCAAAAAAGCAACATATGGTTTAACACAAGCTCTTGCATTAAAATTGAAGTCGGCCGAACATATAGCATGCCTGCAAGATCTAAGGTAAACAAAAAGAGTGACAGAATGGAGAAGGCCAGTGGACAAAATAAAGAAAGGGAGAACTCGCAACAGATGGGATGAAATTAAACGCACAGCGGGTCCAAACTGGATACAAACAACGCCATCCAGATAAAACTGGAAAAATTTGAAGTAGGCCTATACCTGCAGAGGGGTTTTTACAGAATAGTTTCACTATAATATTAACGTATCTAAAACACTTTTTAATGAAATTGTTACTACTTACTTCTAATAAACTACTAAATTATTTTAATACTAACAAAACTAATTAACTTTGCAAAGCATTTTCTGGAACAAATAAAAGGCTTTTTTATTTTAGTTTATTATTTTATTACACATACTAAAATAATTACTGTAATATTAAGTGGTCTTGTGGGTAGCCTTTTGAATTATTCATACATTCATCTTGCTCATAATTTAATAAGTTAAAAATTATTAAAGTTATGAGCAAGACACATATTATTTATATATATACATAGCCTCTGATTTCAACTCATCTTCAAAATATTTGCATTCATATATAAGATGAAATTGCCGACTTAATATTTGAAAGACTTAAAAATGTATTAAACAATAAAAGTCAAAAACCACAAAGTGAGAACCAATATATTAACAACATAATATACAATATTTTGATCAAGATAATGATTACGTTTTATCGCAATGGGATAGATGTGGTTGAAGGGGTGGCGGACTTTCCCTGGGGTAGGGTGGAATTGATAATACAAACTGAATTGTAACAGATAGAGGAAAGAACAGATAATATAAATTTACTGAGTGTAGTGTATATAATAATAATAATATACTGATAATAAAATACTGACGTAACAATTAAGTGACAAAACTGCTACGTCAACGCAGTCAGTCAGCGCCTTGCGAGAGGTGTGAGCGCCGTGCCTTGGCAGAATTTAGGGTGCAAAGGCCCGTTTGTGCTTATGGCCACACACGATACGGTGCCGGGCCTGGGCGTCTCCCGTTAATGGACGCCCAAATAATGGATGATGGATAAGAAGATAGTGCGCAAAGGGCCGCTGCCTGGGGGTCGCCAGGGCGCGTCTGGAGCTGGCGCTGGACGCGGCAGCCGAGTGCGAGGAGCTGCACGGTCACCTAGCAGTCCTCCACATCCATCATCCCCACCAGAAGGCTTGGTGTCGGCTGGGTCTTCTCGGACTCAGCAAGCGGCACCCACTGCTGGTGGATCACGTCGCATGCGTTGGTCACAAGCAATGAATACAAACGCACTGCGGGCGTACTTTTACTCCACCAGAGGCGGGTGCCGATTGCTGGGCCCGCGAAGACCCTGCCGACACCAAGCCAGCTGGTGGGGATGATAGATGCGAGGGGCTGCTGGGTGGTAGTTCAGCACCTCGCGCTCGGCTGGCGGATCGCATGCTGTCGCGTCCAGTGCCAGGTCAAGACGCGCCCTGGCGACCTCCAGGCAGCGGCCCTTTGCACGTTCTATTTAATTCCATCATCCATTTTTAGGGCGTCATTTAGCGGGAGACGCCCAGACCCGGCGCCGTTTCATGGTGAGGCCATGTGCACAAGCGTGCCTTTGCACCTTCAATTTTTGCCGAGGCACGGCACTAACAACTCTTGGCAAGGTGCTGACTGACTGCGCTGACGTAGCGGTTTTGTCACATAACCGTTACGTCAGCGGGCGATGGGGTCGTCACTTCCCTACGCCTTATCATTATTATTGTGGGGTATCAACATAGTTTTCTCATCTGGTTGGGTTCTATAAATATATAATTATAAATGAAAATGAAAAGATAAATATACATAAATATCAATAACATAAACTAAATATAAAAATAAATAAATAAATAAAAGCCCAACCAGATGGAGGCCCTCGGCAGGGGGAGACCAAACGGCCGAGGGTTAGGGGGAAAGGGAAAGAAACCGGCGGACGATGCGGGCGGTATCGAGGAGCACCGTCTTCTGCATTTGAGCCTGGAGCGGTCCGCCACGTAGTCCCAGCCGCCTCAGATGACCCGAGAGGCTGACTGGGATTAGCCCGTTCGCAGAGACGACTACAGCAATAATTTCGGTCGGCAGACCACCCCACATGTCGGTCACCTCGTGAGCCAGGTCCAGGTATTTTGTTTGCTTATCTGTTTCGGCTTTCACGAGGTTCTCGTCATACGGAATGGTAATGTCGACCAAAAATATCCTTGACTGAACCCGGTCCATCAGCACAATATCAGGCTTATTCACAAGAATAGTCCCGTCTGTGATGATAGCCCGGTCCCAATAGAGCCTGGCGCAATCATTTTCGAGCACGGCTTCCGGCAAGTGCTTGTAATACGGCAATTTCCGATCGACGAGACCGTATTTCAGAGCGAGTTCCTGGTGAAGAATTCTGGCTACTAGGTTGTGCCTGTGCAAGTACTCAGAGTTAGAAAGCGCCGAATAACCGGAGATGACATACCTAAGTGACTCACCGGGATGGCGACAAGCTCGACAGATGTCTGCGGTGCCATCCTTTAGGATGTATCTCCGATAATTGTTGGTCTTAATAACCTGATCCTGTATTGCACAGACAAAACCCTTGGTTTCCCCGAAGAGATCGCCAAAGCGTAACCAGTTGAGGGAGGCTACTGTGTCTACGAAAGGCTCATGTAGAGCCTTGCAGAACCTCCCTTGGAGCTACTTCTCCTTCCATACGGTCTCCCGGTCGGAAATGCTCTGCACTGTCGGGTCTTGCCATTGCTCGTTGGCTAAGGATAGAGGGGTAAGTCCTTTATCACAAGAAATGACGTCCTTATAGAATGGATCATCCGATCTCGCCAGGAAGTAATCACGGAGGCTGCACACTTCGCGATTATGCATGGTGAGCGCGCTCAAGAAGCCACGACCACCATGCTTCCGCGGCAAGTACAGCCTCATTACCGACGATCTCGGATGATGCATCCTATGGGACGTCATGGTAGTGCGGACTTTTCTATCCAGGGCGTTAAGTTCAGTCTGAGTCCACCTGAGTATGCCAAAGGTATACATGAGGACAGGCATGACCAACGTGTGCCTTATTCACACCGGACAAAAAGCTGTTAAGCACTTTGGTCAAGCGTGCATAAAACACATCATAAACTTAATGTTTCATACCAGTCTCATCGATACCGATGTTTTGGTCAATTGATCGCGCATCTCTAGCGTACGGACGTGTGTGCATTTTTATGTGTCTTGCTCATAACTTTAATAATTTTTAACTTATTAAATTATGAGCAAGATGAATGTATGAATAATTCAAAAGGCTACCCACAAGACCACTTAATATTACAGTAATTATTTTAGTATGTGTAATAAAATAATAAACTAAAATAAAAAAGCCTTTTATTTGTTCCAGAAAATGCTTTGCAAAGTTAATTAGTTTTGTTAGTATTAAAATAATTTAGTAGTTTATTAGAAGTAAGTAGTTACTCTTAAATATTTATTTAAGGCTCCAGTACTTATTCCATGTTAGCTGAGCCCTGCGCTCAATCTCCTGGTAGTTGTTTAGTCTACCGAAGGTTATTTACTTGCCTAGGTATGTGTATTTTTTGGTATATTGGAGAGGTTCGTTGTTGACGTATATGGTCCTTACCTCGGTGATGTTGGTCATTAGCATAGTTTTAGAGAGGTTTGTTTCTAGCCCGGCGAGCTTGTTAGCTTTGTTTAGTGACTCTACCATATGCTGTAGTTCCTTTCTTTTCTCTGATAAAGCACTAAGTCATCGGCAAAATGCAGGTAGCTTAAATACTGAGTTTTTACTTTTATACCGCATTTATTCCAGTCAAGCTTGCTTATTATCGACTCTAATGTAGCTATAAATAGTATAGGTGACAGTAGGTCCCCTTGTATTACGCCTCTACGGAGAACCAAGGACCGGCTGTTTCTAGTTCAATTCTACTTTTGCTCTTCCTGTATATGCTTTTGATTACTCTTATATATTCGTTATCCACATTTTTTGTTGCTAGTGTTTCCCAGATATAGTTGCGTGACACCGAATCGAATGCTTTTTTTGTAATTGATATATGCCAAGTACAATGGTTTACTTTTCAATTGATATTTCTCGATGAGAAGTTCGAGTGTGTGAATATGGTCGATGGTAGAGAAACCTTTTCTGAATCCTGCTTGTTATACGGGGTGTCTTGTTTCTAATGTAGAGCTAATTTTTGGTCAAGATATTAGAAAATAGCCTATATGAACAAGGTAGCCGGCTTGGAAGATAAGTTTTGTGTTCAGGTAGTGGTCGTTGTATGTTGACGTTGTGAGAGGCGGGCGATAATTTCCATATATTAACGTCATTATTTTTCTGTAGATCTAAAGGGTTGTTCGTTTTCCTGTTAATAAAGTAATTCAGCGTGATTTTAAAATACCTTCCAATAGACTTGAAGTTCTTCTTAATTGCATTTGCGATTTATATTTCATGTTAATCTGTGTATTTGTTTCGGCTCCTCTTGTGATTTTATTTTCAGTAGAAGTTGAAAGCAATATTTTGTTATTTCCAGCTGTTTTATTTCTTTCAGATATGACAAACTTGGCGTATTTTATTTTTACAAGGTTTTCCTTTTCCCTTTCTATTCTCACTTGTTCTTGGAGCTCTTTCGTCTTCTCTAAAATATTTTGTGGGTAATCTTCCGTTATGTAGTAACCGGTATTTTTAGTACACTTCATTTTTTATAGAAGAGGGGGCTAACGAGCATGCGGTTCCCCTGATGTTAAGTGACTATCGCCGCCCATGATCAACCGCAACACCAGGGGAATTGCAGGTGTGTTGCCGGCCCTTTAGAAAGGAGTAAGCTCTTTTCTTGAAGATCCCCAGGTCGTATCGGTCCGAAAAAATCGCCGAGGGTAAACTTTTCCACAGAGAGGTCGTACGCGGAAGAAAACTCCTCGTAAAACGTACAGTGGTGGACCGCCAAGCATCCAGATGGTGTGGATGGTATTGGGACGTTTAACGTAGCGCGTTCTTGAAATTCGGCGGCTGGGATTAATCCAAACCATTCCTCAGAGGTTCATTCCCCATGGTATAAGCGAAAAAAAATGCAAAGAGATGCAACATCTTTACGCAGCACAAGTGATTCGAGCTGATCGGAAAGCACTCGGTCGTCGACGATTCGAGCCGCTCCGCGCTGGATGCGATCAAGTGTTTGAAAGAGTTGGCACTGGGGAGCCCCAGCCCAGAGATGGGAACAGTATTCCATGTGCGGCCGAACCTGCGCCTTTTAAAGTTGCAGGCGGTGTGCCGGCATGAAATACCGTCCCGCTCTACTTTAGCACGCAAAGCCTTTTAGATGCCAATTTGGCCTTCTCTTCCAAGTGACCACAAGACTGCACGTCACGGGCATCCGATACTGGCTGAGGCAACAAGGGGAGTGCCTTGAAACTGAGGAGATACGACAAAGGGGTTCTTTTTAGCGGTTAATGCCAAACCTATGTCTTTTGAGGGTTAAACTGGACTAGATTTAATTGCCCCCAATCCGAGACTCTGTTCAGCAAAGACTCGACTTCAGACACAAGTTTGTCCCAGTACTCGGAGACGTTTTCGCGAGAAATATTGGCACGGCCGGTGTACAGAGCATCATCAGTGCTGTCATCTGCTTAACAATGAATGTTACAGGTTTGCAACATATCACTGATATGCAGAAGAAACAGCGTTGGCGAAAGCACGAAGCCTTGTGGAACACCAGAATTAATAGGCTTGTAATCGGAGCTTGCACCATCTACAACGACCTTGATGCTCCGATCTGCAAGAAAGCTGGTGATCCAATGGCTCAATTTCTCGGGAAGCCCATAGGAAGGGGGGCCTCGAAAGAAGCGTTTTATGCCAAAACCGATCGAAGACCTGCGCAATGTCCAAATTAACAGCCAATACCTCCCACTGGACTCAACTGCCTACGCCCATCTATGAGTTAAGTAGACCAGAAGATCACCAGCTGATCGATCATGGCGAAAACCGTATGGGCGATCACTAATCAGCTGGTGATTCTCAAGGGACCTAATGAGCTGGCAGTTTACGATGGACTCCATTGCTTTGGAGAACAAGGAGGTGATGGAGATAGGACTATAGTTGGACGGGTCTGAGCGGTCGCCTTTTTTTAGGGATCGGGTGGACAAAAGCCATCTTCCATGAATTTGTGACTATGCCTAGGGAGTAGGAGTACGGAAAAGATGCTTTAAAACCGGTGCCAACTCCGTAGCACACGTCCCCAGCACAATTGGTGGGATGCCGTCAGGCCCACTTGACTTGTGGAGATGTCCAAGGAGAGGAGTGTTTTGCGAACCGAGATCTGTGTGAATTGCACTTCCAGCATGGAGCACTCACACTGCGGGATGGTCGGCGGCGTAC